TTTTTTTTTTTTTTTTTTTTTTTTTTTTTTTTTTATATTCTCATAAAATTTTACAAAACAGACAACTACAAGACGATACCACAGGGAGCATGGAAATACATAGCAACCCTGTGGCCATTACATTAAACATATTTGATTCAAATTAAGGTTGCATTAAATGTTGCAAATTACATGTTACAGATTACTAATAATTAAAGACATTTACAATTTTGATGTTAAAACAAAAACAAGGACAAACTACATTGACGAAACAAAACAAGAACATTGAAAGACAAATTACATAGGAGAGAAGATTTATAAAACTACTTAATGAAACCTTTCAGAGGTCTGAATATATTTTAATGTTGCCTCAAGAATTTTTGTATTTGAATTTAAAGATAATTTTTCATGACCATAAAGAATTATTTGCAGTAAAGCTTCATTCGAAAGGTTTGTTAATCCATGGGGTTGCAATATAGCCCTCACATTGTCAAGAAGATCACGTCTATCTGTATCATAAGCATGGCAGAGCAGCAAAAAGTGTTCCGTATCCTCAATACCATCATTTACTGGGCACAAAGGATTCAGGGTATCACTGAAGTTATGTTTGAATTTGTGAAAATTCAGCTTGCTAAGTCCAACACGAAGTTGTGTCAAAATGGATAAACCTTTTGGGTCGTGGATGTTGTAGACTAGCTTTTTTGTTGGACGGATAAATGCAAATAGTTGTTTTTTGAAAGCACTTACTGAGTGGGATTGTTTGATCTCTGGGTCGAGTTTTTCCCATTCAGATAAACAATTTGGATAAAAACTAGCTTTAAATTTCTCAGTTCTCGCGTGTATTTGCCCTACTGAAGCCTGTCTGCGAAGAATGTAGCCTGATTTCTGAAGTTCGGGTATAGGGCTTCTAGTGTAATCTGGTGTCAAGTTATTGATTATTTTAAAGAAAGAAACAAGGCGTCTACTCCATCGTCGGTGGTTTAGCGATTCCCATCCGAGTTCATCATAAATTTTTTGGCACGATGTGCCCTTCCAAGCCCCAGTTATTGCTAATGCGGCAGAGTATTGAATGGACTCGAGTTTTTCCATCGAATTGGTCAATGTAACAGTTTGGCTACAATCATGAGTATTTTGTGGAATGTGATATATTACGTCACCATAATCCAGATGGGGACGGACATAGAGTTTATACATTTCGTTGAGCGTATATCGCGGCATGTACTTTGAAAGGAATCTCAACATCCCTATGCCTTGTTTACATTTAGAAATAATTGATTGAAAGTGACTAGCGAATGATAGTTTAGAATCAAGTATAATACCGAGGTGTTTGTGCTCGTGGACCTTCATTACTGGAATATTATTAAAAAAGATAGGAGGATGATTCGTTGGAGTTTTCTTTTTGGAAAAGATGACCTCAACTGCTTGCTTAGTTGGGTCAGGATTAAAAGTCATTCGCCAATTGTGTGCCCAAAGCTTGATGAGGTTTAAATCATGGTTCAAATCACGTGCAGCTTCATGTGGGTCGTTTACAACTGTGAAGATCGATGTGTCTTCGGCGAATAGTTTCACATTACACGTTAAGCCATCTGTCAAGTCGTTGATATAAATTAGGAAGAATAGAGGACCGAGGATAGAGCCTTGGGGGACTCCAGATGAAATACTACCCCATTTAGAAGTTCTTCCATTCAAAACAGTGCGCTGCTTTCTATCATTGAGAAAGCTTTGCATTAGTGTTAGTAATTTACCAGAGACACCACATCGGCGTAGCTTGTATATGAGACCGAGATGCCAGACCCTGTCAAAGGCCTTTGAAATATCGAGAAAAACGGATCGGACATCTACCGTGGGATTGCAGTCGAAAGCAGTAAATATGGAGTTGACTATTGTCAGTAACTGGTTGACAGTTGAATCTCCTGGGCGAAATCCTGACTGATTTGGGTTTAATAAATTATTTTTATTCAGATGATGATAAAGCGAGTCAAAGATCAGCTTTTCCAGAATTTTACCAAAGATTGGGAGAAGAGAGATAGGACGATAGTTTTGCTTCATGTTCTTACTGCCTTTCTTATGGATGGGAACTTTGTTAGCTTGCTTCCAGACTTTAGGGAAAACACCCTGAATTCACCAAAGAATTCACAAAATAAAGAACTAATGTTCCAAAATCTTGTTAAAATTTTGAGAATATTCTGGCTTGAAGACGTGACAAACCTTAAATAGTTTGCTGGCAGAATCGAAAAACCTGAACTGGTTAAAAATTGAGAAGAACTTCTTCTAGATTAGGAATTTTTATGGACAAGGAATTTGTAACATATATAACTTTCATCAAAAGTTACTGAAATTTTTATACAATCGTTAGTGTTAGTTCTTGATGCTCCTCTACCTGTCTACACCTGCAATGGACAGGGAGCATAACATTTCATTTTCTTACATTTTATTTTATCGGGGATCCTTTCCAATATTTTTCAGACAACCGGAGATTTTTTACCCGGAAAAGCTAATTTTTCGTAAATGATGCATTTTTATTTTCCCGCCATTTTCACCGTTGACGAATTGCGTCAGCTTTTACTCGGCCATAGCAGTGAACATCAGTATACGTGAGCTTTTCATCGATCTTCAAGCCTTTAAAATGAATATACAAAGTACCTGAGCGCAAAAGAAATTGTTCAATTGTAGTTATTTTAAGAGAATGGTGGGCTGCATTTTCTCTCAGTGGAATTTAGTGATTTATTTTATCGTTAACACAAACATCAATGCCGACAAGAAAATATTTTAACATTGGCTTGTAAAGGTAAGTTCATATTTGTTAATTATGTGGATAAACCAACTTTTAAGGTTTAAATACTGTAATTTTTCTGTTCTCCCTCTCCCTAAATCCTTCGTAACTAATGATCGCGGAAAAAATGTTTGCTGAGTACAACGGCAGTTTTTCCATGAATTCATCAAAGATTCAATTCTTTAAAGAAAATTTAGATTATCTTTCAGCAAATTTTACACCATTATTTTTTGCAGATAGTGGTAAAAACATCAAAAATTGGCCTAAATGTAGCTGCACGTTATTTTATCTTTGTTCTGACGATACACTCCGAAGAGTGTTAAACGAAAACCTTAGTATGTTTCATAAAGTTTGCTTTTTTCAAAGCCACTTCCACATGCCATAAAAGACTCTGCAAAGAACATACATACGGAATGATCATTATATAACATGAAATCTACCAATAACGATACTTTACACGAACCATTTTGTTGAAATTCGTAAATCTCAAGCTCACATAGTTGAAGATATTCTTCCCGGTTCAAGAACAGAGTCACATACCGACCAAGCAAAAAAAGCCTCGGACAATCAAACTTTTTCAATCACCGATCTATCATCCCCAACACTGATATCAAATGGATTGATTCTTTCTTGACCCCATGTTGTGCCACTTCTTATTTGGATACTTGTGACAGCAGCTTGCCTTGTAAGGTCCACTTGCCACCAGGGTACTATGTCAGCTTTTGTGATACTGCATCGCTGCCAGGCCCCAGTTTTGTTACCGTCATTTCCAAAGCTGGCAACAAATGCAATTCCATCATATTTATGAGCGGATGAATGCAAGGACGGCTTCTTATAAGCTATATTTCCTTGAACGCCTGGAATTTAAGACAAATCAAAGGATTTTATTAGAAATAAAACATCTTGCGGAATGCTGCATTTTCTTATTTACTCTTCTTATTGCAACACAATAATACAAGGATCATACAACGAGGAGCAAAAGTCAATGACTACCCTAGGGCCATTACATGGAAACATACCATGCTAACCCATGCATAAATAAAATTGATTAAGGTAAAATAGCAAAGAAGATATGCAAAATAAAATAATTTAGAATGTGTTGTAGAGAGGAGGGGTGTTTACAACCCCAATTGTGGCTTAACAGAAAGTTTAGGAAAAGTCCGTTCAGTGAATGAAACGATTTTGTAATTCAGAGACATTCAAGTACTAAAATCAGTAAAAAGTCAGGCATTTGTGACAGCTTGGTTGGTGAAATATGCTTTTTCTGACAGAATACAAAAATCAAGCACTCCTTTAGTAAAAGTGTGTCTTGTGTTGATCTTCATTAATTTCTTTTGGAAGAAGCATCAATTACAATTCATAATTAGTAGAGATCTTTTTACACTCATTAAAGGATTCAATAACCAGTTATTGATTACTAACTAGAGCTGTTTATTACTTGGCTTTGGAAATAACAACTCATACCTCTTCTTGCCTGTTTCTTAGACCATATAACGAAGTTTGATCTCTCGGTCGGAATATCTTGCTCATCTCTAAATTTATAAAATATGTGGTTCTTGATATCCTTAACAACGTAACGACAGGTGTTATCAAGGCTGCATTGATGGAAGGTCTTATGCAACATGCTTGTCGTTATTCGAGTTGGGTTGTGCACTTCTTCGAAAACAGATTTGCTTGTACTTTTATTCTCGTCTGACTTTATTGAAGCAAAGCAGAAAATATTGAGAAGCAAGGTCACGAGCATGAAAAGTCCCATTTGGACAATAGATTGATTGAAATCTTTCCTATGAAACAAATGAAATTGCTATTTACTTTAACTGTGAAAAATGTACGTCTTCGAAAACAGATTTGCTTGTACTTTTATTCTCGTCTGACTTTATTGAAGCAAAGCAGAAAATATTGAGAAGCAAGGTCACGAGCATGAAAAGTCCCATTTGGACAATAGATTGATTGAAATCTTTCCTATGAAACAAATGAAATTGCTATTTACTTTAACTGTGAAAAATGTACTCAACTTCTTTTTAAATCATATAAAAATGCTGCGAAACTGTAGTCTTATTAAAAGATCTTACATACTTTTATCAATAACTTTTTAATACAAAGATCAGATTTTTGGAAAACTAAATGCAGTACACGGTATAGAGATGCTCGAATCTTTTGGTAATGTGGATTATGGATTAGAAATGTTCTCAAGGTTGATCGAAAGGGGAGATCTGTGTTGGTACTTAAGGCATAGGAATTTAGGGGAAAATTATGTAGGTCGTGACTTTCTTATCTAAACAGATGAGTCTCGAGCGTTTACCATTTTTTGGTGCCTTGTTTCTAAGCTAAGAACTAAGCCCAAACTCGTAGGTGTTTAGGGGACAAATGGCATTGTTTGGCATTGTTGTTGACCCTTGAGAATATCAAATTACCAAAAATTCTGTAACAGGGCCTCATCTCTCACCTGGTCATGTCCTCTGTCAGCTAAGTTCTTCGCTATTACCCATGCGACATTTTGTTGCAGAGCTCGAAATGATCGAAGCTTAAAAATGCTTACTCGTGCAATCTGAACCTAATAAGCCCATTTGAAGTAAACTTTGCGAGAAAAAATACCTGATTTTGAGTCAAAGGAAATGGATGGGTAAGCACAGTCAAAAGGATTAGATTTTGATTGTCGATTAACCGGAAAAGGGATGAATGCATTCTTCAAATTCCCGAATAGTCGGAATGGGGATCATTAGACTAAAAGTAAACGTTACTTTTAAATTGTTGAATTTTTTGTACGATTGTCTCTGTTTCTGTCCAACCCAGCAATACTTTTCTCCTCTTTATGTTAAATTATTTGCGCAAAGAAAAGATGCGAATTTAAAAATAAAGAGCCATTCAGGCCGCACATCATTTGATTAGGGATTTTGCTGTTTGTTAAGCTAGACAATTGAATTATTCCTCCTGCATAATTAATGCAACTCCTTCGTAGTTATCTTATTTGTCCCTTGGCAATGAATCCAATCCCATATTACGTGAACAAGTGCAAAATATATCTAGCAAAGAACTTCTTTTAAACTCAAGTTAACATCGATAGACAGGAGACCACTTTCTGGAAAAGTTTCAAAGCTGTTAAAGGTTGCTTAATTCTACCCAACTGTATACATTTATGCCTTACGATAGGCAAGCAGGCGTCTTGTAAGAGTGCAGGGATGAAAATGGGGAAAACTTTCCAGAAATAACTATACACAATTTCAATGATTACTAATTACGCTTCCAAAAGGGTCTTTCCTAAAATTTGACATTTCTGGAACTTCACATTTATATCAATTGAATAGAAAAAAATCTAAATGCTATTAAAGCAATAAGATTTCAATAAACGATTGAACAAAATTTAATCGAAGTTTCTGTGAGTGTGATCACTTGACATGCTGATAAAGCCTTAGGGTTTTGAAGATATGATTTGATATTTTTTTACTTTGATTATATAAACAAAATAAAGTTCAACAACAGTTAATACGCAAAAAATTAATCAATGCATTTCAATACAAAAATATTCATCATCAACTGTTTACACATAAGATTATCAAGAAACAGACTTCGATTGGATTTAAAAGTGCCTATTTATTTAAACTTCTTCAAAAATTGGAAGTTGCGCAATTTATTAGAATCTAGATGCAATTAGAATCTTAAATAACAACAGATCCTTCCAGTTACTAAAGCAAAACTCTTATTTTAATGTATGTTTGTGTTATTATATTCTTATTATTCTAAGCAACAAGAACTTCTGCAGGTTGATTTAGTAATTAAATTTCAGCAAAAATATTCAGGAATTGCATCCAAAAAATCTTTAATAAGAACAGTGTTTTCAACAGTGTTAAACAAATGCAAATTTTATAAATTTAATGATAAATTCCGATGTTGTCAAGCGTAAAAACAGATTCCAATTTCAATTTATGGCAATTTTAGAATCAATTGATGGTCAGTGCAAAGTGTGTTTAAAGTTGGTAAGAAGCGAGCTGTTTTCTTCCAGCATAAGGTAAAAAGACAAAGTTGTCTGGTTCCCCAATCAAAGAAGATGCATTTTCAAATGTATGACTTGATTTTAAAATGTTATATTATATATGTTTTCGATCTGTTCTTCCAGAAAAGTCAACTTATTTTACGCGTTTGTCCTTTTCTTGATTCCCGATGTTGCTCCATTTGCTTGTTTTAGACTTTGTACTTCTTTCTTTCCCCTTTATTTACTTTTCACTTGGTGATCGTTATCATACTATTTTAGTTTTGTGCAAGTCTTTGATTCAAAACCCGTGCTTTTGACACTAACTTTTTTCTGAAAATGAAGCAACGTAGAATGTTGGCCACATCTGGAATTGATTGTTTTAACTTAAGAATTTGACGGACAATATTTCTATGAAAAAGTCTTACTACGAATCCTCTTTCTTTCAATTTGCTAACTTCAATTTTGTTTTTCAAGGATGAATTGTGACAAAGATTGCTGTTACATTTTCTTACATAAAGTTTCAATTTATAGCAAAGGTTGTCTCGAAGTAGATCTAAAACTCTGTTAGCCTTTAGAGAATATGTGGTCTTGAAAGTGTAACAGCTTTATTAAAGTTTTGCTTGTGAAAACAAAAAAACGTATTAGGCTTAGGTTCCGAAGTACTTTCCTCCGGATGACTAAACGTAGTTCAGCATTCTAACGGAAGAATTTTCTTGTGAGAAATAATTCTATCTAAGATGATATTTATAAATAATTTCTGTAAGCTTTTTTTTGATTCGCGAAACTTTATCATCAAAATTTTTTATGCTTATAAACAACTATTGTTGCTAGGTTTGATGGGCTTCTTTATGTGTATATCTTTAATGGACAAAGAGATTTTCTAATTGCTTTTTTACAAAACGCTAGTAAAAAGTAAGCCTTGATTCAGTACTATTATTTTTTAGACTGTTGCTGCTTGTGATTTCTCTAAATACAAATGGAGAAATACTTCGTCTGCCATGCAAGATCTTTGCCAATTTTACTGCTGTGCTTCATGATCAATCACTTAGTTCTACATTTCGTTCTTTGGACAACTTGGACGAGCAGATGTGTAAGTTTGAATGCATCATGGAGTATCGATGCAAGTCTATAAATTTAAACAGAGAGCTTGGTATTTGCCAGTTGAATAGCAAATCAGCACAGGATCCAAAAGATTTCATTGAAACGCAAAAAAAGGAGGGTTGGACATATTATTCAACCCTTTTTGAAGAGAAAAATGTGAGTTTTCTATTTAAATACCTATTTAAAATTCAACTAACTTTATACATTTAAAAATTAATTTGGTGACAGAAAATTGCGAAAAGGGCACATATAAAAATTAGTTGAAAGAGAGAAGAAAGAAGAACAACAAGTCATTGATCAAGATGAGCATCAAACACAGCTTTCAATCTTTATCTTTTTAGCTCTGCAAAAAACATGCCCTTAAAGAAAAAGAGCTTTTTTTCTCGTAAATTTCAAGACTAATATAGCACTCGTGATATGTTGTGATAGGGCTAACAATTGATCATTCATGAAATAAAATTTCTACATTGCAGGTTGGTCAGTATTGCCAAGCAAATGATCCTTGCAGCGCCGGACATAAATGCATTGACACTTGCTACTGCCCAGGGTATAAATGCATTGGTAAATACAATAGCAACTACATTGCTTTTGGGGTACAAAGTGCTATACAACCAGTTTTGCATGTTTTGTTTCTAGTAAACTAATTGTGTTGTGTGCCAATGTTTGCGTCAGTACTGTTGTTTGTTTCCTTGCCATCAACATTCTATGTCATTGCATTATCCCATCGACACTATTGTTTTCATCAGTCCCTTTGTTTGATATAATTATCGTGTTAAAACATAATTAGGGTTTGTTTGTCAAGTGGTATATTTGCTGTACCCTTGTTCGTAAATTCAGTCGATTTGAAGTTGACGTTACCTTTAGTCGTGTTAAAGTTGCCGTTACGCAAAATCGTTATTGTGGAGTGGCCGAATATTTGTAGTGTCAGGTTTTGATACATCCTCGTTTTTGTTCAAGTTTATTGCCGTCGTTTGGATATCGAATGGAAATTATGTACATTTTTTGTTGTCCTTCTTTCGTCTACGTTTATCTGTAAAACCTTATAGTTTTACAAAAGCCCTTGTTTAGTATTATGCATAAGATAAGATTTCATTACAATTTCTTTCTGTATATTATCTTCTAGCCACAGCGAAGAATCGATATTCTTTGCTGTGGCTAGAAGATAATATACAGAAAGAAATTGTAATGAAATCTTATCTTATGCATAATACTAAACAAGGGCTTTTGTAAAACTATAAGGTTTTACAGATAAACGTAGACGAAAGAAGGACAACAAAAAATGTCTTATGCAGATCTTCTTGTGATTGGTTAGTTGTTATGCCTCATGTTGTATCATACTATGCTTAAACGTCTTTAAAACGTTAGTCTGTAACACTTTGCACAAATTAACAAAATGCTTCTACCAATAACAGGAATGCAATGTGTTTTTTCGATCAACATGAATCCAATGAATTTTAAAACTAAGATTCATTGTTCTTAATCTGACCATAATTTTGATAACAGCAGTGAATTTGGCATATAAAAAGCCGTCCTCGCATTCATCAACTTCCACCATAAATGGAATCACATTAGTTGCCAGCCTTGGAAATGACGGTGACAGAAATGGGGAATGGCAGCGATGCAGTATCACAAAAGCTGACATAGTACCCTGGTGGCAAGTGGACCTTACAAGGCAAGCTGCTATCACAAGTGTCCAAATAAGAAGTGGCGCAAATTGGGGTCAATTGAGAATCAATCCATTCGATATCAGTGTTGGAGATGATAGTTCAAATGGCGGACGAAACAATGCGCTTTGCGTGAAAGATGGAATGTTGGCAAGTGGTGAATTGAAAAAGTTCGATTGTCCACAGGTCCTGATGGGTCGTTACGTCAGTATCTTTTTGAACAGAGAAGAATTTCTTCAAGTATGCGAGGTTGAGGTTTATGAAGGTATGTGTATTCACAGCAAAATTCACTCCTTTAGTGTTGGTCACGAAATGTAAATATAACTTGCATCTTGCTCATTGGGCCATTACTTTTGATAAAGCAACTGATTTTATGGCTTTAACTACTTTTGGCATTTCATCGACTAAACCAAAGAAAATGGGGCACAATAATACAAGCAAACAATGTGAAAAATGTATTAACCTGTAGAGAAACATCTAAAGAGAAAAAATGCATAGGCCAATTTGCACGGAGGTCTTTTAAGACCAAAAGCAATGTCGAAGAGAACTCTTTTTGCGAGATGGCTTCCGATGGTCCCGAAAAGGTAAGCTGTTCATGAAATAGATCTAAAAAATGATTCTAAGCGGCTTTATTGGAGGAAATGGCAGTTTAGAGAAGATTTCATTATCAAAACCCGTTTTCTTGAAAATGAGTCCAGACACTTTGGTGTTGGAAGTCAAGGATATATAAGCCATTGATATCGTTTAGTACAACTTTTGATTGTATAGATATGTACTGTCATAGAGATGTACTTAATGAGTATACCTCAGTTAAATTTATGAGTATATTTTCATTTTATTTTTGAGACTAAGATTATTCTTTAATTACTTTTTAGCGACGAAAGGTGAAACTGATTTGCATTATAATGTTAATGTCTCTAAGGCCAAATACGTCTTTTTCAAAATATATATCGTGAAAATTACATTTGTTCTGCTTTCCAAAACACTAAAATAAACACTATATTCAATTTTTTTTAAGCTTGATTCTTTGATTGTTTTTACATTATTTTTAAATTTCAGAGATTTTAATTGAGCATTAATTTTCTTATAAAACTTATTCCTAAAAACGTGTGTAGCCTGAATTGAATTTTATGTTGAATTTTCATGAAGTTAAAAAGCTAAGAGTTTCTGCATGTTATTCTGCTAATAGAAATTATATTTTTGAAACAAGTAAAAAGAGGCTTGATATTTATTCTGTCATTTTGTGATATCAAAAGTTTATTTTAACATGAACTTTCCATTTTAGATGAATTCTGAAACAAAGCTTGATAAATCTATATTTATTCTCCACTTTCTGGCAAGCACGAATGCATTGGAAGAGAAATGTAATATATCTGCTACAATCAGCAAAAGAGGACATTAAAAATGCACAAAGATTTCATGTTATATGTTTGAATTTTCTGTACCGCAAAGTTTGGAAATGGCATGAAATATTGTAAACATAGCACGCTGAGGTACCTTTCGTCTGACACTCTTCACCCAAATAGACAATAGTGAAAGTTTGCACTAAATCTTAACTTGCTGCATCTCGCCCTTAAAATTTTGATGGAAATGAGCCATCTTCTTTTCATCTGGGTGTTTTGGAATCAAAGCAAAAGGATCCCAGCTTGTTTCGACAGCAAAAGTTCGCTTTCTCTTTTTGGCAATTCACGGTTTTTAAAAAAGCCTGTAAAACGCTTAGTCTTTCTCTTGAGCCACTGTCGATCCATACTTGGATGTAAATTTTCTGCCTACCATTGGTCATTAACACTCGTTTGTACTCTGAAAATTGTCGAACGCAAAGAACTTCAGTAAGCTATGTTTCCGATTTTTCATGAAATCTTCAAAATTTAGCAAGAACTATCTTTATATAAATTACTATCTCTCTATAAATTATGGACAGTGGGGGCGAAGGCTGAAAAATATTTTTGGCTTGTGACTTATGCTCAATTTAAGAAATTTAAATTACAAAAAATCAATTTTTTCCCTGAAAGATTATTTACAAAGACTTGATGTTTTCTTTAAGCTTTAAGAGCTGTCAGCAAAATTTTTGATAGGAAAATCAGAAAAAAGATCAGAAACATAAATTATGCAAAGTGACTTTATTGTTTTGATTTGGCTATATATAGCAAAGCAAAGACCACTGTATCGTGTTATTAAGTGACATGAATGAGAGTCTTGTTATTTGAATTATGATATTATAGTCTCTTTGATCTCCAGAAAATCTAATTCGAGTTCAGAAACGATAATACAGAAGGATTTTGTACGCTGCAATAGTTATACTCGTAACGTGGAACATAAAATGATATTAAAGAGTGATGCAAAAGAGTTTTCTATTTTCTCTCCATTACTAATGTAACACTTTGTTCTATATTACTATAAATAGTTATTTGCTCGATCTTGCAACATTCTACGCTGATGGCAGCAGCAAAATGCATCTAGAAAGCTGGTAAAACTAAATACAGATGCACACAAATGGACCAACGCAAAGTATGTTGGGTCTAATTATGCAATGCAAAGTAAATACCCGTTCCAACAAACAGCACACACACTTGTGACACAAAACATCTAATGTAAATTCTGTGCTAGTGCATAAGGCGTCAAACTTTTGCCCAAGGAGCCTTAAAACCGAAATCACTTTCGAAGTAAAATTCACAATGGAACATGAACAGTTAGTTGTTCAAAATCAGACTTGCATGTAATGCTCTTTGTAACGTCAAATTCCAAATTCTTAGTTTCTAAAGACTCGTCTATCCAAAATTATGACCGAATATATAGTCCGAATTTTTCATGCATTTAATTTTCAATATATCACTTTACAACGTATCTCAGAATTTTACCATGCCAAAAACTGAAATGGTATTTGGAAACCGTACTAATACATCATAGAAATGTAAGAGCAACGGCTCATTTGTCTCGGCAAGGCTTGCTCTTGTCAAAAGTGGTCTCGTTTCGGAGAACAGAGCCCGTTCCATCGAAAATTGGGATGCGAAAAGGGAGGTAAATTGAGGTACATTTGAGTTAGGCTATCTTAGTTCCTTATTTTATCTTGATAAAATTCATTCTTTATATTTGCTGCTTTGAAAATTTAACAAAGTGACAAATATGACCGATTCAAGAAATCATTAAACCTTTTTTTTCAATTTTGATAATGTAAACAATATATTTTTCCAGTTTAACTCATCAGTAAATTGACAAAATATTAATAAGTTCAGTTCAA